AAACCAATTGAACATTCGTGGGATTACGTTACACGTCAATTGGGAAGTTGAATACTTTACATATGAAGGGGAGCTAATGCAAAAAATTACACATACATGGCGTGAAATATCAATTGCGTGTTGTATTCGATTAATTGAATCAATGACACACAGAGAGTATGCAAAGAATTATCCAACATCCCAAGAATTATCCCAAGTAATTATGTAATTGAAGCAATATATCTCAACTTTTGTTACAAAGTTTCAATTTGTTCATCCGATTCGTTATTAATCGTAGATCTTACACGGGCATAATTGGAAGAAAATAACATGTTGCAACTTCATACGTGGTCTGTTGTCTCTTTACGCTATTTTTAATTTCATCCGATGCATTTCGGAAGATAAAAGATATACAGCACTTTCCAAGCGCTCGTAATGTTTCTTAATTTTTGTCAGTAGGCGTACGTACAATAATTTATAGGACGAATAATAGTCTTTGCTAAAAACTTACTAATATCCTTTACTTTTTCGGGATTATTCCGAAGTTCCAACAACGTATTCATGAAATCGTGCCTAACGATGTTGTGCTCTTTCCTGTAGTTCAACGTTTCGATGGTGATCCTCTCAATGAATACGTTCACCTTGTCTGGCGGAAGGATATAACCAAGTAAATCGTACAACTCTCCCATACACTCCTTCATCCTGAATTTTATAATCGCCTTCCAGTGTGTAGCAAAGATTTCTTTGCCCATTCGGCGAAATTCGTTTTCCTCGTCCGACAACGAATTCACCTCAATCCCAAAGGCACAGCTGCCTATTACGTCGGTGGTATACCTGGCCGCAAGTTCTCGCACCTCGATGGGCTCTCCTTTCGCTATCAATATATCTAAATAGCTCTCGATACGTTTGGCACATTCGAAAATCAGGGAGAAGATTCCTTTGAGTTTGCCAGACGTAAATACCGGGGAAAGTTGCATTCTTAATGGCCTCCATCTTTCTACTTCTAAAGAGAAGAGGTGCTGAGAGAGTGGTTCCGCCTATAGCCATTGAACGAATTCACTATATTCGGGATGTTATATATTTGAAATATTTGGAACTTATTGTATTATTTATCGTTATTTGTTATATCTTTTATCGCTTATCAAAAGAATAACTATCTAAGAAAGAGATATTAAATAAAAGAACATAAAGATACATAAACTTTCATTTGCTGGATGTATCAACTTATCTTCTATTTTGTTTGTTAGCCTGTTCTAATAGTTTCTTGCTGTGTATAATAATTCCTACTGTTAGTAGAGACTTCGATTTAACACGTTGAAATATAAACATGCGTTTCCATGCGTTCACTTACTATTTCTTGCTTCAAGAATCCGCGATTCGCGAATTTGGAAAAGTCTTTAATAAGAACATCTTTAATAATCTCAGGGTCCTGTATAACAAGATGAGGCGTTCTTCGTACGAATAATCCGATCATAGGTTCGTCTTTATATTCGTTATGTAGCTTCTGCAAGTATTCTGCAATCGATATCTTGCCAATCATCGGCCCGAAGATATTGCCAAACACTGGTATAGGTTTTGGACCTCGAACTGAACGATCTTTCCAAAAGTTGAATTTTGCCGTAAAATAATAATACAGCGCAATGAACACTACTGTCACGTAGCATAAAAATTCAAATGCCATTTTGTCTTATTCAATCTCTCGACGATAGAGGTCAAAGTTCCGCAATCTGCAAAACATACAAATTTATGTATTATATATGTCGGAGAAGGGTCAGGAATAAGATTGTGGGCGTTTGATAAATCTTCATTAGAATTGGCCATCGTCGTGTTATACCGAAGGTACGGTCTATTAATACGGGTATGGATACTACCGACTCGACAATCAACAGCAGCGGTTGGACACTCGCGATACTAGTAATGTTGGTCTTAGGTTCAATAACGAATCCGCGGTCAACGGGATGATAGATGTACGTGCTCACAAAAATCTAAGTCGAACTCTTTGAAAAAACGTGGAATATCCACCGAGCGTACAGGTACTAAGTAACTCGCTAATACGACCTCACGAGAGAATGCGACCTCCGTCGCGATGATGTTGCAGAGGAAAGCTACGATTGGGTGTATCTGAGGACACGAGATCATCGGATTCGTCGAGGATAGCCTTCGTTCAGAAGGTGAGGGAATTTGGCGTTGCTGCTAATTAGTCAATCTCCATATTGGTGGTTAGAAAAAATGCTAGCCGTCCTCGAGGGAAAGTTGCTAGTGGGAGACGCTGTTCGTTGAAAAATAGGTCTCTCCTATATTCCCGTAGCTGGGACAAAGACTGTTTGAAGGACTTTAGTCAACTAATAGTCTGGCTAATAGTCTTATAACTGAGATGTTATCCTGAAACTAATCCTAAGATTTATGACGGGCCCTCAGGCTAGCTGAACATGTACTGCGGAGACGCATCGACATCTGGCAATTATCTTGCTCGAAGAATAGAGTCTGCGTGTGACGAGCCACGGGAAACATTCCAAACCGTTGGAATGTTTACTGTCGCGTGCCGCCACAAATATTTCTTTTAAGGAGAGCTATAGAATTACTCCATTACCTTTGTTAGACAAAGCGTTGATCCCGTGACCGCGGCTACGTTCGGCGACTGGCTGTCGCTTCGAGCCCAAGCTCATTATCACAACTCGCGAACAATTACAATCAGATTAAATAACTACAATTGTTTAATTACAGCTATAGTAGACTCTAGATTACAATGTTGCGGGATTATCCAAAACTCCAAGGGCTCCGGTGTTCTTTCATCTCCGACATATATATATATATATGTCGGGGCCCTTTTGGAACTTCAAGATAACCTCCTAACATTGTAATCTAGAGTCTACTATAGCCGTAATGGAAAAATCGGTGAGCTTTGGCTCGGGGCGATAGCCTGTCGCCCAACGTAGCCGCAGTCAGGAGCTTCAAGTTGCTCTGTCAAATAGTTTCCAACATACAGTGGGGTCCTCCTTGTCGCGGCTAATACGGAAACGAAACTGTTCGAATAGTGGTATTTCCAGATAATAAAATAATTTTTCTGACATGAAATTTCACTTATTCAAATACCAATTAATCGACAATTTCTTGAAATATTTATGGATGCCGTATCTTATTGACTGTTAAGTTATAATTCTTTTAGTAAAAATAACTGCACGGAGTTACATTCTTTTTGTATATCAAACCATCGAAGCTGCCACGAATGTTGTTACAATTTGTTACAAGTTGCAATTTTCGTTTGCAATTTCCATTTTTGTAAAAACGCCATTATCATCGTATTTTTATTAAGATATCTTGTTAAGATAAGATGTTATCATGGTTAACATTCTGAACAAATCTTTCCAATACACGTAATCGTCGCTCGGTTTTCTTTTACGATATATTTTTTAGAGAGATACTTTACGAGATACGCATCTTTACATAGATATAAATCGAACTGAACTCTGAAAATATCTCGGAAACTATGGCCGAACGGCGATAACACGTTTAAGAAAAGGTCATACAACATACTGACAATTGAGATTTTTCAAGTTCATCAAAATCGATATCACCTTCGATTTCTCTAATCATATCGTACTTTCTTTTGATAGTTGGAACGCTATTTATTCAGCTCTTACGATCATTATTCGCTCGATCGATTAAAGGAAATAATAAATAAACAGAAAAGGGTATCTGTTATTGGAAAGAAACTAAGTTCCGATAATAGAACATTCGGATATTAAGATTTGCGTATTAAGATACGGATAATGAGTATTCGGGCCTAAAATACAGAAAACGGATAAATAAAACTCTACTATATCGCGACTGTCAATTACAAAAATATCATTTTGAGGAAATTTAGAGCTTAGAGTTTAGAGAGGGGATTTGGAGTTTAGTCTATTGAATAAGAGGTAAGTAAAATATGAAAAATCATACATACATTTAATTAGTTATTCCTCTTCCTCTTCCTTAACACCTTCCTCTTTTTCGTACAGTCGCAAATTAATTCTAGTCTCTTTGAATGTTACACTAATGTATGCGAAACATTACTTTTACTCTGCGATACGGCAATTTCCTTTAAATCTGTTTCTCTTCACTGATTTTGTTAGCATCTATTTGTCGCGAAGATTAGAAACGTACTTGCATGCTATTCGCGAGACACTGCTAGATTATAGACACACTATAAGATTATAGGCTTATTTAACGGCCTTGACAAGTTCTAAACTATAAAAAAAAATATTGGAATGCTTAGATTTTTATCAGCGCGTCGCTTCGTACTAAAGTTGATAATTCCATTGATATTACAAATTAGGGCTTTAAAACGTTAAAACTCTAAAAAAAAATGCGACAAAAAGATATCGACACGCTATACAGGCCACTTAAACTGTAACTGTTTTCTTATTTATCTAGAGAAGAAGCAGTAATACGGTAATTGCAATCTCGCGAGAATCTAGCTTCCGTCATCTTTTATCTTAAAAACTAGAAACAAAGACACTTGAGAGTAAATTAAGCTCTCTGCCGCGTCTACTGAGTCGTGCGTTAGCGGATGCAACAATTTCGCAACTGGAACGTCTAGTCCAGTGCAGTTTCAACACCAGTCGGTACAGTTTCAGACGCGCAAAAAATTCTGGTGATACGAGGGAACAAAGTTGAAATCCGAAGTCGCGTGCTATTCAAGAAACATATTAATTAAAATGAAGCGGGGAAAGGACGCTTGTAATAGGAGTTTAGCCTCCTCGTAAACTACAGAATCGTACATGTTATTTAGTGCTTATAGTTAATTGTTCAGTTCCGAAACTTCTCCTTCCTTAAGATGCGCAATTATTACTTCATAAACGCACCGTTGCACACCGATTTCTTTATGTTCAGAAAGTCTAATATCTTTCCGTATGGGCAATGATTGAACGGCGCTGAGCTAAGATATTCCATCTGAATCAGTCACACAAGCCTCGAAAAAGAACAAATTCAACATTAGATATCTATTATTTTTCATGTATTATTTATTAATAAAATAACAATCCCATTTTTCTTAATGTTATATTCTTAACTACTTAACATTTTGTACAATTTTTTCCTATATATAAGAGGTGGACTACCAATACTACCGATAACAAGGATTACATCAGATTACAAGCCCCATACGCGAAGATACAAGAACTATCTATTTGATATAGGTAATCTTTTTAATTCGGCAGTCAGGGACAACCGGCAACGCTACGATAACAAGTTATATAAACATCAACAATGTTTTAATTTGACTATATTGATATATGTAATGAAAACGTGAACTACTTGTTTCTACGAGTAAAATATTTGAACTACTAGTAAAATACATAGTATAACAATATTCAACAGAACGTGTACCGCACCTCGACATTATATTGAATTTCATTTGTCACACTCCGACAAATGTCCGTCGCATTAAATAATACGTCTATAAATTAATTTTATAAATGCCGAAGTATACGCTAATAAAAAATTTTATTTGTGTCAAATGAATGTTAAAATTGTGTTAGTCCTCTACCTTGGTTATCGTCAAATACAAACCGGTTGTAGGTGTCAGAACGAATGAAAGTGGATTATATTCATAAGGAATTGGAGTTTTGGAACAAACGCCAACCTTGTTTTTATGCAGGATTTTTATTAATCCAATTTTCGTTTGGTAGATTGCAAAACGTGCACCTGAAATAAATTATCGAATGTCAGATGTAAGTAAGTTCATTAGTTGTATTTTTTAATATATGTATTATGATACTACATATACTACACGCAACTTTACTAATCGTAATTCTATCAATTCTAAGTCTAATTCTCCGATGGCAGATTTCTTGAGTTATGTTCGTCTAAAGTCACGCCTACTTTTTTTTCTACATCTCGATCTTAATCGCACGATCTTTCCGCTCGCATACTCGACGTTTAAAACTCCGCAGTTCGTAATAATTCTTAGAATTTTCATTTCCAGTAATATATGTTTTTACCCATCCTCGTTCGAAGGATAAAATTATTTAAAGATATATTTCGTTTCATATCGCCAATGTCGATCGATTATTTGATAGTTATCAAGAAATAACCGATCGATATTTTGCTAAATACGTACCGACACAATTTCTCGGTCCATGTCCAAAAGGTAAATAATACATAGGATTCCTTTCTTTCATTTTATCCTCGGAAAATCTTTCGGGGTCAAATTTTTCTGGATCTGGATAAATCTCCGGGTCCCTGTGAATGGGAAAAACTGGCACCCATATCAACGTTTCTTTGGGAATTGTTACTTTCGTATTTTCGAACGTATAGTCTTCGACTGATTCTCTGCTTAAAAATGGCAAAGCTGGATACTTCCTTAGTGTCTCTGTATATGAAATAAGAATGATAATTACTGATATAAATGTAGGAAGTAGAAGATAAACAGGTAACAGCAATAATGAGAATTAATAGTATGATCATGCTATATAATAACTCTGAACTAATGCATCTAATTTACACGTATGAATAAACGATCAAGTTCGATCTTAGATGCAAGCGATTATAATATTTACCTTGAAACACTTTGTCCAAGTATTGCATTTGCTTTATAGTTTCGTACTTCCACTCTCCGTCATTTTTCGCCGCGAAATGTTCGATTTCTTCGCGCAATTTGTCCTGAATGTCATGATTCAAAGCCAATTCGTATAGAGCATTGCTGATCGTAGTCGATGAGGTCTCGAAACCAGCCGCGAAGAAAATAAATGTTTGTGCGGCTAACAAATCGTCCGACAATTCTACAAGCGAAAAGATATACATATTACGATATTTGAAGCGTGTATTTCACTCAGCAGCGATACAAGGATAAATTCTTAGAGATATCCTTATCGCACCGAAGCTTTCTTGCAAATTATTTACGCTAGTGTACTAACTAATATCGGCGACTCTTTCAGGATGCCTTTTCAGTTCCATGAGTATATTCATAAAATCAGGCCTGACGATTTTATTCTTCTCTCTGTATTCGATCGTCTCTCTAGTGATTCCCATAATCATTTTCGTTTCCTCGTCATACGGCAGTATACGAGCGAGAAGAACGTGCAACGGTGGCAGGATCTGCCGTATTCTTATACGCAATATTTTCCAGAAATCGGTAGAAAAAATTTGTTTACCGATTCGACGGAAGTCGCTCTCGTTTTCCGAAAGCGAATTCATCTCGATGCCAAAGGCGCAGCTGCCGATTACGTCAGTGGTGAATCTGGCGGCAAGTTCTCGCACATCGATAGGATCTCCTTTCTCTATCATCGTATTCAAATAACTTTCAAGGTGATTAGAACATTCTAAAATTAAGGAAAAAGTCCCTCTAAGCTTGCCAGAGGTAAACACCGGAGAGAGTTGAGTCCTCAAAGGTCGCCATCTCTTGGCTTCCAGGGAAAATAGGTGATTAGATAATGGAATTGCCTGTGTTCATTAAAAACATGATACGATACGTCACGGTTACTTAAAAGTGATTCATAGATTACACAAGACTAAAATCCATTTATTATATTTATATTTACGCATACTTACCGGTTCGCTTTTTATGAATCCTCGATTCGCGAATTTGGAAAAGTCTTTAATCAGGATGTCTTTGATGAGATCAGGATCTTTGACCATTAAGACGGGTACTGTTCTTAAAAATATTCCAACCATTGGTTCGTTCTTAAAATCATTGTAGTTTCTCGTTAGCAATTGTGGAAGCGATTCCTTTCCAAACATTGACTTCATAATATTGCCGAAGAGGAGCGTGGGCTTTGGTCCGGGCACTCCACGGCTCGTCCAAAAATTGTAACGTATCGTTAAATAGCAGTAGAGCACAATGAGCGCTAATGCGAGCCCGCACAGTATTTCCAAGGTGATAAACATTGTATATTATACGTTGATAAGAAGTTATTTGCTACAGAATATAAATAATTTTTAACGAGGCGCGAAATAGGAATCAAACTTCATAAAATATACAGAAAATAGAATTTATACATACTGAAATTTTTGACATCAGATAAACCGGGCAGCTGATATACCAACCGGATTTCGCGGGGCGTTCTAGTTCACGGACAGCTCAAATATTTTTCAAACTGAAATGGAATCGAACTTGATAGAACTGAAAAAATCTATAAAAAGTTCAATACAAACATATAAAAAGTCCCAGATTAATTAATATCATAATTCCTCTAATTAAAAAATTCCAAAAAGACGATATTATTTATGTAAAAGAAAAGAAGATAAATTCTCCCCTTAACTTTAATTAAAAAATAAAATCTGGCTGAAGAATAACGAACATTCACAGTTTAAAGCTTATAGTTGAAAATTCACCTGTATCAATATCAGCGGTCTAGTACGTACTGTTCTAGTCTTTTGTTTAGCAAAAGATATACATTTAATCGCAGTGCGCATGATCTACTGAGTCATGTTGGCAAATAATAATTCCTTAGATTTACATGATATCATTTCTGCGAGCTCACCACAGTCTTTGTTTCTCTCTTTTCTTTTTTCGTTTAAATACGCATGGCCCGAACGAATAGCACGTAATTTAATATTTGATATGATAAATTTAATAGCGTGTAATAGCATGAAATTTATCATACATACGTACTAGACCGATTCTTAACTAAATTGCGTTCAAACTCTATTTTCTTGAAAATAGAGTCTTAAATAGAAAAATGTATTGTACGTTTTCAGCTTACTTCCATGCGTAGAATGATACCCTGTCGATCGATTATTTAGTCTTGTCCAGTCTGAAATTAGCCACGTTTAAGTATACTCAAGATACAGATCATAACGTGCTAAAATTGAACTTTGCGTGGATTAAAAACTTCACCTTCGTCCGTAAACTGTAAACGATTCATATAGCAACGATAAACGATATGAACGCTTTATAACACTTCATCATTCCTTTAGATTTTCCAAACTTTCAACTTTTCTTCGACTGTTTAGTCTGTTATAAAGAATTATTCTTTAGTGATGTGATATATCGAGAAAAGACGTTCGCGCAATAAACAATCGTAATTGTTTCCCGAAAATATTCGTTGACAAATTTTGAATAAGAAAGGAAAACAGATGAAAATCTCGGTAATGATTGAATTACGAAACGAACGCTATTCGTTACGTGTGAAACTGTAAAGCTGTTTATATACAAGTTAGTAGATTCAGATTCCTTTCCCCTCCTTTTCCTACACCTCTCAAACCGGTCTCACAGCTAAAATTCGTTGAAAAGAACATAGTGAGATGTTACTTGCCAACGCCCTGGCCACGCTGAGTACACTCGTTCCCGTCAGATCACGACGAAAGTTAAACAGCGCCGGGCACGAATAGTACTTAGATGGGCGATCGCCTGGGACTCCGTGTGGCGTCGGCGGAGCGCGCTGGGCCCGCCCCCCTCCCTCTTCCGTGGTAAGGTTCGGGTTTT